CATTAGCACCTCTAGTAATATATTTACTGAGAAAAATGGTGACGTGTTCAATACTTATTTTACCCGCTCTAGTTTTATCCTGACGTTGCTTGTTTAACATGAGGAACAAATCGGTGCACAGTTGTTGGGACGTACCTTTTGTTGTTGTACGGCTTGCTGTCCCAGATTTCTGGCGCCACGTAATACGGCGTCCCCACGTACGCCTGAGCGTGAGCCCTCGAGCTGCAACACATTCACAGTCAAATTTAAAACCGACAGGAAGCAGAGCTCTGAGGAGTTGGCGCCCTCCCTCTGCAAGCACCTGTTCAGAACACAAGCAGAGCCGAAGTCCCCCAGCTTCACGGAACCGTCATCCGTCAGGAAAATGTTCTGGGTGAGGGAACGAGAGAGAGGGAGGGGGGTCAAATTAATATGAGGCAAAGCATATAAGAGCAGCCAACTACAGCAAAAATGATGGGTATAAGTGAGCGATCATTCAACCAGGCAGGAAACTAAATTAGCAACTTTCTCATGGAAAAAAATCTGAGCAGCTACAAGAATAGGTCCTGGTGTCTGAGTGTGTTTTAATAGGAAGCAATTATTTAAGTAAAGGTAACGATTATGTTAATACAGGGGTTTAAAAAAAAACTAAAAGTCATAGCATCCATCTCCTGAAGGAGCGGAACAAGAAGATAAAATATATGAATGGTTACAGCAAAAATAATACAGTAGGTATAAGTGAGAGATGAGTGAGGAACAGGAACAGCCTTTTCCCAAGAGCCATCAGGGAACTGAACAATAAAAAATAACGGCAGCAAACGATCAGTTCTTCAACCCCATGTGCAATATCAACTGTGTGCAATATATCTCAAGTGAAATACTCTCGGAACATCTCTCATGTGCAATATTACAAACGAATAAGAGGATTATACTGTAAAATTTCCCTATTCTTCACTTGTATATACAGAAATTCTTTGATTTCTATTTTATTTTATTTATTTTTTTGGATAATGCACATTTTTCTCTTTATTTCATTTTAACATGTCTGTTTTATTTTATTGTCTATCCTGCTAAAGCTATTTTATTGTGTCTAAAAAAACAAGCACCTTGGAGCAGCAAATCCACTTTCATTGTGATGCAAATTATAATGACAATAAATGTGATTCTGATTCTAAAACAGCCCAAAGAACAGGAAGAGATGCCCAAAAATGTACAGGAAAAAGAAAATAAAACTGTAAACAACAGTGTGAATGCTGTATCAAGTGTAAAATAAAATTCCAAAATATATCACTAACACATTTACATTATTTAGCTCACTTTCTGATTGATAAAATTTTTCCACTATTTAAATTTTTTTAACTCACCGTTCTTACATTTTGCTAATTTTCACCAAATATTAAATTTAAATGTTAAAAAATAAACAAGAATATTAAATCTAAATCTAAATATTAAAGTTTACATTTAACTATTTCGTAATGGAACTCAGCCTTTGCCAACAGTGCTCGACCCTTGTTATGACATCATCATCCTGCGACAATAGCAACCGCTAACGCTGATAAAGCTTCCCTTCAAGACATCAAACTTGCAGCTGTGGACGGTGTTCAAGCTGCAATTTAAGTACCATCCATATTGTTTTTTTTTAATAAACACATTTTAAATTTTAGATTTTAAAAACCATCGTCATTAGCATTCAAAGCATTAGCAGCGGTTAGCGTTGTTTGTCGCAGGATGATGACATCATGCTTAGCTAGAGTCAAGCACCAACGGCAAAGGCTGCGTTCTGAAATACTTTAACCTCAATATTTAAAGTTTAATTTTTACATTGATCGATACATATATTTTTTTATCATTTTAATTTACAGTTTAAAAAAAATTGCAAAATGTAAGAACAGTGAGCTAAAATAAATCATTGAAAAGTTTTTAAATCTGAGAAAGAGAGCTAAATAATGAAAATGTGTTAGTGACATTCATGGTGCCCCATACAGCAGTGCTTTTGTTTTGGCACCATTATTAACGGTGAGTTAAAAATGTCCATTAGATAGATAAATACAGTATAAACTACGTTACCTTGGACTTCAAATCTCTGTGCAAAACTCTCTTATCGTGAATATGCTGCGCACCAGCACACATCTGAGCAAACCACTTCAAGATCTGACAAAAAAAACCAACATTTTATATTAATTAATATGGAACAAAACGGTGAACACATAACAGTAGAATTAGCTGCACACGTATACATTTTCAACCCCAAACTGGGTGTTTTTCTGTCGCTGAATCCTCTGAAGCAGATCTCCTCCACTGCAGTACTCCATGAAGATGCACAGGAGGCCATCGGCTGAACAAACACAAACACGTTTCCCATTCAGCAGTTCAAACACTACTAACTGTATCTGCCAAAAATATCTCGTAATAGGCTTTAAAGGCGGAGGCGTTGTGTTGTGAGATTACCTTCGAATGCCTCTCTGAAGGCCACGATATTAGGATGTTTCATTTTGGACAGCAGGATGGCTTCTCGTCTCGCCTCCTCCAACTTGGACTGGTTCTATTAAAAACAAATCAAACGAGTGCTTTAATTATGTTTACAGTCATAAAAACAGACAGCTTCAGTGTGTGGGCAGCTGCTACATGTGTTAGTCACAGAGCACATCAGTTTGTTTCAGGTTTATTATGTAAATATTGCTGAAATAAAAACACTGAGGTTAATTTTTCTATTTACATCTTCTCAGCAAAGGTGAGGACAAACCTCATGCAGGCCACGTGGCTGATTTTGTTTAAACATACCTTTGGCAGCTGTATTTCCTTGAGCACATATTTTTCCTGAGTGCTTTTGCATTTTACTAACAAAGCTCTGCCGAAAGACCCTTCCCCGATGACACTCAGGTGGGAGTACCTCTCCATCCAGCTTCTTTAGAAACAGAGACTAAAAATAAATAAATTTTAAAATAAAACTTTGTTATTTTAGTGTCTGTTTCATTACACTCCTCTTTCTTATACAGCTAACAGAAGACAAGTATCAGAAAATCCTCGTGTCGTTTGTTTGATCGCTGTACTTCCTTATTATTGTATGACGTAGGAGGGACGCAGTTGCGCTGCGCTGCCGCAAGAGGGCGCCAGAGCGTAACTTCTATTTTTTACATCCATGGATTTCAGTTTATTCTAATAGGACTGTAATAACTTATGGTTCAGTCACAGCATGCATAAAAATAATATATTATCTGGGGGGGGGGGCTTATTCAAGATGGCAATTACAGCCAAGGCAACTTTAGAAAACACAAAAACGGTTACAAATTAGCTAATTTTACAGATACCGAGTAAAGATTTTTGTGTGGTAGTAGCTGAGAGTCATCCCAAACACTAACCAGGTATGTTTGTAACACATTGCAGTTACTATTACAGTCAACACTGTGTGTCTGTTAGCAAAACATCCCATGAACCAGTTGGATTTTAAAAAATATATTACTTTAAGGACCAAATAAGGACTATACACAAAGCCAATTATTTGGAACACACTGATACGCTTTTGAAACAGTCAAAATTACTGAAACTATTGATATTGTATCTTACCAGACAGCAGGTATCAAGTTTAACAAACGTGTAGTCCCTTTAAATTAAAGCAGCTTTCCCTCTTAACAAAAAGTGATTGGATGTTTGATGGCAACACATTTCTATGAGCCTTATACATAACCAGCAGAATGTTAAAATCAACCAACTCATGAAATTTTAGCAATTTTAATTGATGAAACAATATATTAGAAGGGTGATAGTAAGGCTTTCTTGGAATAATTCTTATGGCTCTTTTTTGTAAAATAAAAATAGGATTAGTAATGGTTTTACATGCATTTCCCCAGACTTCTACGCAATAAATCGAATGCGGAACAATTATTGCATAAATAACTCCTTAACTTTATACAGAACTGCAATAGATTTTGCCATTTTGTTCAAGTTTGAGAACTGAATCGGTTTCCAGCTTAATTAAGAAATCATCTTCTTCCACCTGTAGCTTACAGAAAACTTCCCAAACCACGCTACCCCTTTAGAAATAACACCAGTGGGCTTTTACAAGCACACTGCCTGTGGACCTTATGTGCCGCCAGGTAAATCAATAAGAGTGTGAGTGGTCCCTGCTCACTGTTAGCAGTGTACTTAGGTACTGACCTCGAAATGAGGGAAGGAAATGCTTCTCTCCTGACAGAGCTACCAATCAAACACATTTGAAGTGGGCAGACTGGTTCTGGCTGCAGGATCAAGGGAACGTGACTGAAAAAAAAAAAGATGGCAGGGATGGAAATGCAGTGAGGACTGGCTGAAAATGTTTGCCTGGACACTTTTGCTGCAAACTGAGATCAGCTCCCATCCAGTGGCATCCATGTAAGGGCCTTTAATTGGTCACAGATGGGAGAGCTTGATGCGAGCTCACAGAGATGTGGACATTTGGACAGGAGCCAGTGGGACTGGCTGCAAAATTAGGGAGTGATGGAAATATAAAAACGTGTTCGGCTGACACTAGAGGGCCTCGTGGAAACTCTGAAGTCAGACAGCTCAGTTTGCAAGACTCACCTCAGAATAAACAGCTTCAGCTGATGAAGGGTTGCAGAAAAAAGTGGTTTTCTTTCATATACACGTGTTTGTGACCAAAATAAAGAAGCAAAACGAAGTTTATCTTTTAAGTAAATGTGCAATCATAACCCAGAGTAAAACAATTAAAATATTAAACAAAGTATTTAGAAGATAAATTGTGTATGCGTGCTCAAATAGGTATTTAATTTAATCTTCATTCTGAATAATATTTAAGCCACTAGTTTACAAAGTAACACAAGTATTAAATTTAGATTTAAAGTTTGTTTACAAGTTCCAAAAAAATCCTTCAGATTAAATGAATTTAATTCGTACTTCCTAACAACTCTGTCACTGACCTGTGTGGAGAGTTCCTTGGTCTTCATGATGCCTCTACTGTGTTTTCTTCATACTTAAATTTTATAAGTAGGTCCTCTGGACGGGTTCTTCTTTAATGAAACGTTTTGTCTCTTCTCCAAGAGACTTCTTCAGTCTGAGAGTTTCATGTGAATTCAGCCTGTAGATGAGTGTAAACTGCAGAGTCCTGGCCTGCAGATGAGTGTAAACTGCAGTGTCCCAATGTGTAGATGAATGCAAACTGCAGAGTCCTGGCCTGTAGATGAGTGTAAACTGCAGAGTCCTGTGCTAGATGAGTGTAAACTGCAGAGTCCTGGCCTGTAGATGAGTGTAAACTGCAGAGTCCTGGCCTGTAGATGAGTGTAAACTGCACAGTCCTGACC